TTGTAATAACCGAATGAAAATTTCAAATTCAGATTAACCACTTGAGCGGCAATGACTGTAGCCGGCAGCCGCCGAGCGTACTCGTAACGACGGCGCGTCGACTTCGGCTGAATGTCCGGCGTAATGGCGGCTCGTCGATTTCAGTGGGCTGTCTATTATGCGCTCGTTTATTCGAACTTTCATTGTGGAATGCACACTGTTTACATAAATTTCGAATTATAAAAATCTTGCCAATGTTCAAGTCCCAGTCGATATGAAACACCGGCGCTCTACACAGCCCGTGTACATTCGACCCGAAAAGTAGATCTTATAAGATTCCAAGCTCATTATCATCTCACAGGAAGCCATTTCGCGGCTTCGTATAATCGTGACAAGGTACTTGACATATCAGACTCGAAATCGGCTTCGATCGTCGAAAACCTGCAGTCTCATTTTGGAAAAGAACAACTGTGTTTATGCGTTCGTCGAAACGACTTCCGTCCTCAATCGCATTTACCCTAATAAAAATCTGTAGTAGAGTCGATGCAGCGCGATGTGATAACGCAGTGGATGCCACGGTGGATGATTATGAATTGTTCATACATGTCGTTTTCCTATTGACAACATTTATCATCATTTTCAACACTCTGATGGCCGTCACTACCTGTGATTTCGCACTATTATTTTCAAACAGGGTGTAAAAATGTTTCCAGACCATAGATCTAATGTTCGTCAAAAAACCACTCTTCTGGTTAATACTAAAACTACCGCAACCGTCAAGACGATTTTCAGTTTTCTCATTACACAATTATTGACATCTTAACAGCGTTAAATACGTGAAATGATTTGAAAAATAAATAGTTTCATTTAAATACTATAACGAACGTACAAAGAAACCGAAAAAAATCTGCTGCTACAATTTCTATAACTATTACATATAAATTGTATTAAATGCTCGGTAGTGTTAGTGTCAATACACGCGTTTCGAAAATCGGGAAACCCGTTCTTTTTAGATGGTCAGCCTTAATATAGCTATCCTCGTAGTGGGATCGATAATTTGTAGAAAGATCGCGGAAGTCTCCGGGGCGAGAGTCCGGTCAAGAAAGTGAAGAATCGTAAAAGAGCCGCTCTCTGCAGAATCCGGTAAATTATCCCGCGCTAAATTTAGCCGCGGAGAGCACTTGAATGCGATCCGCCGGCAGGGTCTGAAAGATCAGGTCGGAGCCGGTCTAAGGATGCGTCCTGGCGGCCATAGATTCGTCGGAGGGAGCGAATTCGCGAAATAAATCTTAACGGTGGCGTTAAACGGCGATGCCATCCGGCGAACAGCATTCCAACGGAACAAGTTCGTTGTTTGAGTTCCCGTCGCTTCGCCTCGCGTTGCTAACACGTCCGCCGCCAGCCGATTGGTCACGTGGCTGATGATAGGCCAATTGGCCATACGTTTTTTCTATAACACTAATGTACTGTACTAATATTCAACACTTCGCTGTTTAACTAAAAAGGCCAGGTAACCGGGCAACGAACATGCTAAAATGCGCGTGTACGGTATCGGTCATCAACACTTCGAACATTAGTGAACCCTGCCAGCTGTTAGCTTTAGAAAATATTTTTTTTCCATCTTTAAGATTGAAGCCGTGTATCAAGATATTCGATTAAGAGGACCATATTAAAGAGCAATATATCATTCGTTCAACAAGACGTAGTTTCGAGTCGGCGACTCTTAAAGCTAAGGTACGAAACATTTATGTAACCGAATCGAATCAAAGATACTCGATTCTGGGTTTCGTTCGTCATCCTCGGGCTTTTCGTAATGCGAGCCATAAATCCGGCTTCCGACAATTTGTTCGCGGTTTATTTAATTTACAATGTTCGCGTGAATGTATTAATACGCTATCGTTCGATTAATCACGTCGTAAATCATGGGAACCGATATTGCCATCCAACGATCGCGACATCGGTAATAATCGCGCGCATTGGACTCCAATCTGTCGCGTACCGGGCATCAAGGATTTCTTCTTTTCACTGAGGATCGATCGATCGTATTATTTTTAATAAACAAGCGGCCGATGCGGCGTCGCCCTATCATTTACATACAACGTCCCAGTTCTATTTACAAGTCCTGTCGTCCGTGATGGAGATAGGGGCGCGCACGTCGCGTTGCCGCGGAACAATCGACGATCTTCTGTGCAGGTTCGTCGATAAAACAGGGCTGCCAGTCTTCCTTCAAAAGCAGTCAGCGTGTCTCGTCTTATTTTAGCCGATAACGTACGCCGATACCGGCGGAGGAGGGCTCTATTGACAAGAACGATTGTGGTTGAGTCGCGTCAAACATTATTCAATAGAAGGGGCCGATCGGTCGCACGCGCGAATGTCAACGCACCTATGCGGTTGCACGTGTGTGCGCGCGTTCTGCCTAGAATGTGTCAGCTTGTAAACATTAAACAAGCCATCGGCTAATCTAGATACATAATTCAAGAATGTCTGACTCATGCATATACACGGCGGTACCGGTTCGTTTCTCGCGATTGCCGCGGGAGAAAGAGGAGGATGAAGAAGGGGCCAAGTGGGGGAAAAAAGGGACAATATCGGCGTCGATCGTAAATATGTCGCTGGCTGGAATAAACTATTAACAGTTGGACCGTTAATCGATCGTAAATGTATGTGGGAAGGCGAGGAAAACATTACCCGCGGTGAAACCGCCTCGCGGCAGAACGATCGGCAGAAGACTTTGACTTCTGTCGAATTCAAGGTCGATTGAGTTGTCGTGTTAAGTTACGGATTAAGATTGCCTCGAGGATGTTCGAGATCCCGTGAAGATGGTGTGATGTTTGCAATATAAGCGCCAGTGCGAAAGTGTGCATTGGTTGATAAGGATTCTAGCTTTTGCATCCTTTGTTTATCTCTTTTGTAGATGTTCGTTAGGGTCTATGATTTAGGGTTGGGCTATCTTTGATTCTTTCCTTTTGTAGGAACAGTTATTTAGCTGAGATAATTGGCTTAGTGAATTCTTGGTAGGGCGTTTACTTTGTTCTCTACGATTTATTTTTCAACTATGATCGATACAACTACTTTGACATTGATAACTTATTGACAAAAGAGAAATTTTAAGTATATTCTAGACGATAACAGATAACAGAAGAATGACAGTCTTTTTGAAGTTACAAGAATTGAGAAATAT